CCTATTTCTGATAGCCTATGTATTCCCTGTGCCAAAGTTCTCAAGTTGGTCCCAATTCCCTCATTGATGGCCCTAATCATTTGGGTGTAGTCCATTTCTTATTTCCTTTTCTTACCTTATAGCACTTGCTAGGATTTTTAGTCTTAGGTTGAATAGGACTAGTGAGAGTCTTTGTCCTTATTTTCTTCCAAGTATCAGGGGGAAAGCATATTCAGTCTTTTACCATGTTATCTGTAGTAGTATTTTTTTGTAGATATTTTTTATGAGGTGTCATAGGATTTTCTGTATTATTCATTTGCTTAGAATGTATTCTCATTAGTGTAGGTTGAGTCTAATCAAATTACTTTTCCTGGTATTTACATATGATCATGTAGGTTTTGTCTGTTGATCCAGTGAATCATGCCAATTGATTTTTCAGTGTTAAAATGGCCTTACATTACTAGATTATACCACCTTCAGTATATTGTGCTATCTATTTATATATTGTTGGATTCAGTGTGTTCATGTATCATTAAAGGCTTCTAATGTTAGTTTTATTGTATTTAGGGAACATAATTTATATGACTTCAATTACTTTAAGCCTGTTTCAGTTTGTCTTATATCATCAATATGGTTTGTTTAGGTGAGCGTTCTGTATACGTGAAGGCAATGTGTATTTTGGTGTTACTGGGTGGAATATTTTATAAATGTCAATTTGGTTGATAGTATTGTTTAAGTCTTCTGCAGTCTTGGCAGTGTCTGTTTACTACATGCCTTAGTACCTGAGAGGACTTTTTAAGCCTCCATCTATAATTATTGATTTGTCTGTGCCATCATTGGATATTAATGATATTAACTCTTGATTTTTTTTGGTAGACATTCAATGTAAAGGCACCTCTCTATTCCTAGATTACAGATACTAAATTTTAAATTAAAAGCAAAAAGGTATTGGCATTATATTTTATTAAACGCTTTTTCTGTATTATATGAACTGATATGATCAGATACTTTTTCTTAAAATTAAGATTCTTCAAATAGTTTGTGGAAAAATGGGATTTTTCAGTGTACTTTCTGGTAGTGTAACTTTTTGAAGCCCCTTATAAAAACTGAGCACTGGTGGCATAGTGGTTACCTGTTAGGCCCTGAACCACATGGTTGGCTCTGCAGGAGAAAGCAGAGGCTTTCTGCTCCCATAGAGAGTTACAGTCTCAGAAACACACAGGGACCGTTCTACCCTGATTTGTATGGTCGCTAAGAGTCGGCATTGACTGGATGGCAGTGCGTATAGTATTATAAAAACTAACATGATTTGTCTTATTCTTTGTATTGCTCAAAGGTGGGAAAGGTTTTTATTCCAGGTCTGCCAACTCCATCCTTGACAATGTCCAGTGCGATGCCTCGGCCCAGTACTCCCCTTGACAGTGCTAGCACTCCTAAGCCTCTTAGTAAACTACTTGGATCCCTAGATGAGGTAAGAAATGGAGTAGGTGATGTCAGAAATTAATATGGTTTTAGAGATGTTTCAGTAAACAGTTCTTGTCATGATTAATTTTGTTGCTCTGTTTTAAAAATGTCAACATTGTAAGCCTTGCTAATTCGTCAGCAGGAATTGTCTTCAAACACAAATGGTTCAGCAAACCTATATTGATCTCTGTTGTGATTTGTGAGGCAGTTTTTGAAAATGCTGCACAAGATAAAAATGATATTCTTTTGCATGTAGATCTCATGGTAGAATTTCTACACAAGAAATTCTAATTTAAAGTCAACTGTTAATGCCTGTGAAAGAGGAACAACAGGTACCAGAGGCAAATGATTGCCAGATGCACCCTGATGGGATGATGTGGCAGAACTAAAGCTCATCTCAGAGAGGTGTGGCTGACTTAGTTTGGACCTCGAGGATTAGCAGCCTATCCATCTGTAGGTAGAAAGGGGAGTCAGGGAAAAAAAGGAATCACAGAGGCATGAAGGCCACAGAGTGCAAAACACTTTAATGCATATTCATATTCTACCTCCTCATTCACAAGTGGACTGAATAATGAATCCGTGGAACGAATGAAGACCTACACAAGTGCAAGTTGTCTTTTAGGTGAGGTAGGGATGAGGAAGGGGTCATGATAACAGTAATGATTTTGATAATTTTCCTAAGTACTGTTTATAAATATCTCTAGGGAAACTTTAAGGAGTTCAGGTGATATTGCAGGTTAAAGGCTGAACTCCTAACCACCGGGTCAGCAGTTTGAACCCACCAGCTAGAAAAGAGGGAGAAAGATGAGGCTTTCTGCTCCCATTAAGATTTATAGCCTTAGAAACCCACCCAGGCAGTTCTACTCCAGCCTATAGGGTTGGAATTGACTGAATGGCAGCCTGTTTGGTTTGGTTTTTGGTTAGTGAAAGATTAAGGGAGACACTGTTATGAGCCCCATTTTACAAATAAAGTCAGGTATAGAAGTTGCTTGTCTAAGGATAGACAATAATGTAATAGAGTAGAAGTACTTTTAATGGAAGAAATGATGAAAAGGAAATTCTTATTCTGCATGCAATGACCAGGATATTACAGGCTTTTAAGGGAGATGTACTGAGTATAGCATTTGTGTTTTAAGAAGACTTAGGATTGATCTTGGAATAATATTCCAAGTGTGGCGATTTGTGGCATTGTAAGACGTGCTAAGAAGGGAGTGACATACAAAGCCCTGTTGGCTGAATGGTTTTGAGCGGGGCTCGGAAGAGAGTATGGAATAAGACTCAGTTTTCTGAGTGCCCTGATAACTGCCCATGCTCACCAAGGTAGGAGGCTGGAGAAGGAGCAGATCTGTCCTTGTTTGGGGGCAGTTCAAAGTGAAGGTTTGATATTAGTGTTTCTAAGTGCTGGCTTTTTTAGTCTATGTACAGTAAATGGACTTCTCACATTTAAACCAGGACCTCTGAGAACATTCAAAAGGGGAGCTGGAGAAGCATCAGAGAGTTCTAGTGATTTGAAAGAATGTCTTTCCCTTCTTTCTTAGAGTTCCAGAATCGCTTAGTCAATATCTTTATGCCAGCCTTGGAATCATAACAAGACCATTCTCTGTCACACTGGCTAGCTGATGGCTCTCCCATTTCCCCAGAAAATTATGCTTTTCTGCATAGAGCCAAGACCAGTAGAGCTGATTTTTTTTCTGACAGCTCTTGGAGTAAAAGTTGGAACAGAATAAATACATCTCAGTGTGACTGACGTTCAGTGTTGGTAGGATCTTCACTTAGTGGTGGCCTATAAAATGGAACAACAGTGCATGAATACAAAAGGGTGTGTGATTATTACTAGACATTCAAAAGTGGAGGCATTTACATGTAATTAGTATCAAAAACCATTTTAGCATTTTGTGTGCCTGTCACAATTGAGCAAGTATTATTCTTATATGTTCATCATCAACACTTGCCTTGAGGTGAAATGCCACGAGATGTCTGTCTCTTTGTTTTTCTTTCTCTCTCAGGCTGTAGTTCCTCAAGTCAGGCCTCAGTTAGCTGCCTCAGGTTTCAATTTACATCTTTAACCTGGTGATGTTGTTACAAGGGCTGCTGCCTTCTCTCCTTCCTCTTAGCCAGGGACTTTCAGCGCTGTCAGCCATCCATGTGCTCCCCACCCCACAGTTACAAATACCCAGAGTGGGAAAAGCAATATAAGAATGTGGCCCACTTAACTGGGGTTCCATTCTCTCTTAGATCTTTGGCTCCCAGGTCCAAGTTGCTTCTACAGTTTTCCTGTGTCAGTAATCAGATGTGGCTTTGGTATTTTATCTCCCTTTCCTAGTTTCTGTGAGAGCCCCAGTCTGCTTCAAACTACTTTATTATAGTGGATCAGATGTCTTCCATCTGTAAATTTTAAAATATATATAGTTGTTAGTTACACCATATGCAAAAACAGACAACCTTCTAAAATCAAATTCTCAAAGAATATTTGTGTTTTATTTATGACTTTTTACAGGTGGTCCTGTTGTCCCCAGTTCAAGAACTCAGGGATTCTTCGAAACTTCATGATTCTCTTTATAACGAGGATTGTACTTTCCAACAGCTTGGTACATACATTCATTCTATAAGAGACCCTGTTCATAACAGAGTAACGCTAGTAAGTATAGTTTTAAAAGATTAAGTAGCTTCCCATGTAATATGGATGTGATTTTAAATTTGAGAGAATGCAGAATTGTTTGAAAATTGCAAATAGACGTTTCTCATGATTTTTAAAATCACTTGTGATGTGCCATTTTAAAGTGATTCTGCTTAAGTGTTTTAAAGTTACTATGATGTTTACTGAAAACAAAAGTTTTTGAATCAATTAAATTGTATGTTGATGTGATTATTATCCTTTCATTAAAAGTAAATCTCCTTAAAACCATTTAAAAAATAGCAGCAAAAAGTCTTTTGTTAAAAATTTTTTAGAAAGTATTTTGTTAGTTAGGATTACTCTTAATATCTGTGTAAAAATTGGACAGTTTTTAAAAGATTAAAAGTTTTGAAAATTAAAAAAAGTAAGCCCATTACAGTTTTTTAATATTTGGGTATGTCCAGTTCTCTTGGCAAACTATTGTTTGGTTTTCATGAATTAAATTGAATTTGTTAAATAGTCTTGTAAAGCATCATCAACTATTCATAAGACATTAAAGACATAGAACACATAAATGCTGTTTGCTTTTCTTTGTTTCCATTCACTCTGCCAGGAACTGAGTAATGGCTCCATGGTTCGGATCACTATTCCTGAAATTGCCACCTCTGAATTAGGTATGATTGAGGTTCAGACTTTACTTCTGTGTGTTCTCACTTGATAATTGCTGATGTATCTTACCAGTTGGGACTTACAACTTTGCAGTTTTAAAAGCCACGAGGTGGACATTTTCACTTTGGGAGCTGGGGGAGCACTTGGTGATGACCAGTCCATGTTTGTGCAAGGCTGTGGTGCACATGAATGGAGTGCGGATTCTCCTTCTCAGAGCTTTCTTATGTTGGAGAATGGTACCTAGACTACACGCACCTGCCTCTTGTTAAGAGTCTGGCTAGACCAGAGGATGTACACTGGTACAGATAGGAACTGGAAATCCAGGGAATCCAGGGTGTGGATGATCACTACAGGACCAGTGGTGTGAGTGGCGATACTTGGAGGGTAGAGGGAGATTGGGTAGGAAAGAGGGAACCTGGGGGATGGACAACTGAAAAGTGGGTGAAGGGAGACATCGGACAGGGCAAGATATGACAAAATAACAAATTATAAATTATCAAGGGCTCATGAGGGAGGGGGGAGCGGGGAGGCAGGGGAAAATGAGGACCTAATGCCGGGGGCTTAAGTGGAGAGGAAATGTTTGAGGATGAGGGCAATGAATGTACAAATGCGCTTTACACAATTGATGTATGTATGGATTGTGATAAGAGTTGTATGAACCCCTAATAAAATGATCAAAAAATAAATAAATAAAACAGAAAATTTGAAAAACAAAGACTTTTAAAAACACCTCACTGCCATCAAGTTGATTTCGACTCGCACTGACCCTGTGTTGTCTTAATTTATGTTCTCTATGTACCTCTCTGGGTTCTCGTATCCATTGTAATGGCAGCACTGAAGTCACAGGCAAAGTTCATAATTAAAGGGATTATTAATGAAGTTAACAAGTTGTAATGCCAGTGAAAAATATTCAGGGTTGAGTTGTTTATCAGGACATGTTGCAAAGTTCTATTAAGTCTGCTAATACATGCCCAAAGGACATACCAATTTGCTATAAGCCTCAACTCAAATGTATTCAGCTTAAGTTCTTTAGGTCAGCCAGCCCACATTCCCCAATTAAGTGCCCAGAGGCACCTCATTCCAGTAGACTTGAATCCAAGACACTCAGCTCTACTGCCATGGGACAGGCTGAAGTCCAATTTGGTGCCGAGTCACCCGACTCCAGGAAACCAGCTTCCTGAACAAAAGCACTCAGCTTTCCATGCTCCATGGGTCGGGAAGTCCACCACTCTGTTCTGTGCTCTGCTTCTTGCTGCTGCTGCTCTGATGGTATTGAGGTCATCTAGATCCAAGAGGTTCACTGTTGAGGGATCTTGGGTCCAGAGGACAGGCTCTTGTTGGTAATGAGATCCCTCTCTCATTTCTTGGAGGACTCATTTTATACACAGCAGGATGCTACTCTAGGGAATCCTGGTCACAGTTATTCACAGGTGAATGCTATCAGTGTCTTCCCCCACCTTCTTACCCGACCCATACAGGGAAGAGCTCGTTTGGTGGGAGTTAGAGACTTGGCTAGAAGAGCCACTTAAATAATTCACTGCCCCTGGAGATCCTATAGAGCAGAGTAGAACTGATCTATAGGGTTTTCACTGCCGCACGTTTTTATCGATGTGGATTCCTTCACCTTTCTTTTGTAGAATGGTTAGTGGATTTGAACCAACATATTTGATGATGTTACTCAATTGTTAGATCAATTGAAGACTTAAAGTAATTACCTTAATTTTTGCTTTAAACAGTGCAAACATGTTTGCAAGCAATTACATTTATCCTGCCGAAAGAAATTGCTGTTCAGATGCTTGTCAAGTGGTACAATGTTCACAGCGCCCCAGGAGGACCCAGTTACCACTCAGAATGGAATTTATTTGTGACTTGTCTCATGAACCTGATGGGTTATAACACAGACCGCTTAGCATGGACCAGGAATGTAAGTATCCCTATTTGTTTTATGTCCTGAGTTACTCTGTTATCAATGTAACATTTGTGTACTTGGTATTAGAACGTCCAGATCATTTTAATAATCTAAACCCAAACCAAACCCATTTTCTTCTTTATTCATTTTATTGGGGGCTCATGCAGCTCTTACCATAATCCACACATCCATCCATTGTGTCGAGCACATTTGTACATTTGTTGCCATCATCATTTCCCAAACATTTTCTTTCTACTTGAGCCCTTGGTATCAGCTCTTCATTTTTTTCCTTCCTTCCCCAACCCTCACTCCCTCATGAGCCCTTGATAATTTATAATTTATTATTATTTTTTAATGTTCTACACTGACCGATATCTCCCTTCACCCATTTTTCTGTTTCTGTTCCCCTGGGAGGGGTTTATATGTAGATCATTGTGATTGGTTCCCCCTCTCTCCCCTGGCCTTCCCCTTCCCCTCCTGGTATAGCTACTCTCATTATTGGTCTTGAGGGGTATATCTGTCCTGAATTCCCTGTGATTCTAGCTCTTATCTGTAACTGTGTACATGCTCTGGTCTAACCAGATTTGCAAGGTAGAGTTGGGGTCATGATAGTAGGGGGTAGGAAGCATTAAAGAACTAGAGGAAAGTTGTATGTTTCATCAGTGCTATACTGCACCCTGACTGGTTCATCTTCTCCCAGCAACCCTTCTGTCAGGGGATGTCCAGTTGCCTACAGATGGGCTTTGGGTCTCTACTCTGTGCTCCCCTTCATTCACATTGATATGAATTTTTGTTCTGGGTCTTTGCTACCTGATACCTGATCCTATCGACACCTCATGATCACACAGGGTGCTGTGCTTCTTCCATGTGGACTTTGTTTCTTCTCAACTAGATGGCCACTTGCTCTTGCTTATCTCCAAGTCTTTAAGACCCAGGACGCTATATCTTTTGATAGTGGGGCACCATCAGCTTTCTTCACCACATTTGCTATGCACCCATTTTGTCTTCAGCGATTGTGTCGGGAAGCTGAGTATCACAGAATGCCAGGTTATTAGAACAAAGTGTTCTTGCATTGAGGGAGGACTAGAGTAGAGGACCAATGTCCATCTGCTATCTTAGTACTAAACCTATGCCTATATGCACATAGATCTATTTCCCAATTGTCATATATAAATATATTTACATATGTACATGCCTGTATTTAGACCTCTATAAATGCCTTTTGCCTCTTAGTTCTTTCCTCTATTTCCTTTTACTTTCCTCCTATCCCACTATTATGCTTGGCCTTCATTCGGATTTCAGTAATTCCTCTTAGTTACATTGCCCTTGATCAAGCCCTACCAGGCATCCTACGCCCTCCTCGCCATCAATTTTAGATCACTTGTTGTTCCTTTGTCCCCGGGTTTGTTAACACCCACCTTTTTTCCTCCGCCTACCCCCCTCCCACATCCCCCCGGAACAGTCGGTCCTGTTTGGATTGTTTATTCCGCCTATCTTATCTCAATAGACATGCAGAGACAATAATAAGCACAAAAACAAGGCAGAGCAAAACAAAACAACAAAAGGAAACCAAAAAACCAAACACCACCACCACCAAAAAAAGGACAAAGAAAGAAAAACCTATAAATAGTTCCAGGTCTGTTTGTTGACCTTTAGGAGTGTTTTCCTGTTGAGTCTGATGGGGTGCTATGCCCTCGTCTCAGTCTATTTTTGATATTTCCCAGGGGCTTCATTGCTTTGTTCCCCATGTTATTCTGTTGCACGCCCTTAGTGTTTTTCGCCATTGTGGTATGGTCAGATGAGGCACAATTCCCGCACTGTGCCTCCAGTGTGTCCCTCATAACACTTTGGGCCAGTGAGGGACATCATGTCTCTTGGTGGGGCCGGCCCTATGGTCCTCTCTGTGCATTGGTTTGTCTGAGCAGGAATATCGTCCTTGGGACTTGGTGAGCCAGGATGTGCTCCACTGTCTCCTTCCTTCTTCACCATACTCATTTCATCGAGTTGATTCTAACATGCTGATGGCACAGGACAGAGCAGAACTGCCCCATTGGGTTTCCAAGGCCGATTGGAAACAGCCTGCCCCATCAGATGGGTTCGAACTGCAACCTTTCAGTTAGCAGCCAAGTGCGTAAGCAATGCCCCACCAGGACTCGTTGCTTTAATAATAGGCATACCTCCCCGGAGATGACCTTCCTCTCCCAGGGGAAGATATGCTTTTCCTCTCTGGCAGGTCTGTATGCACACGCTACCTCAGTGTGGCCTGCCTGCTCCTTCTGACCAAAATACCTGCTGTCGCACTCATTTAACTGCAACACGTCATATTTTGTACTTAAGTAATGTGTGAGTTCCTCCTCTCCCGCTGTAGTGATTACAAAGACTCTATTCGCGCGGGATTTTCCTCCTCTGAGGGAGAATGATTTTTTAAGAACTATTTCTGTTATGGCATGTAAAGGTGTCGCCCACTGCAAAATCCTGGAAAAAAATCTTCCTGGGAAGATAAAGGATACTTTTCTTATTCTGAATAATTGCATGGGAGTTATCCTCAAATTTCATTCTTTCTCCATATGAAAAGATTGAGTGCCTGTGGGGGGAGGGTTTGGGTGGGGGGGATCTCAGGCTCTCTATAGTATGAGTCAGCCCACTTCAGCTTTTTATAGTTTTTGTGTCTTCCTGTCCTGCGGAACTTGCTGATTGCTGTGGCTCCGTCTGTCACAGAACCAGTGCTGTCTCCTGTTCCCATTAAACAGGGATGACTGAGCACCGCCTTCGTTTGGTGAGCAAGTACATGCTCTTCTGACGTGGAACGCAGTAGTCTTAAAGGAAGGACCAAAGAAATGACTTCTTGAGATCAAGTTAAACTTTCATTGTATTTTGTCTTCATAATCAAAGATCTTGTTAGCAAATGATTTTCATTTTGCTTTGTCCCCAGTTACCCTCTGGTTTCATTTAAATAATTGAAGAGAACAATGAGTACATATTTTTGCCAATAGCTAATTATATTGCTTTGGCCAGAAGGTACATTAAATGAGGGCACTGCATTAGATGCTCCCCACCCCCACCCCCCACCCCCACACACATTTGGTTGTGATGTTCTTCGAAGAATTGTGTTTGGTTAACTTTACATGTCTCTGGAATGTTCATGGCTTTTCCCAGTTGATATTGAACCCCTCTGTCGGCTAGACATGATGCCAGACTATTCAGATACGTGTTAGACAAGACAGTTCCTCTCATCTTGGGATTAGCTAGCAAGAAAGACAAATATTTTTACATGTAAATTACGATAGATTAGGGGCAGGGTTCTACAGACTCATATAACAGACTAGTTAATCTGAGCAATTCTAAAAGCATGAAAATAAAGCAGAATCACACAGGTAACAAAAGGTATGATACAAAAAGGCTGTACCGTACCGTGACTGCTGTTCTTTCCCATAACTGTGCAACTGTGACTGCCAACTGTGGCAGGAATATTCTGACTGTGGGGCTTAGACGCAGTATCTCTGTGTAAGTAGGTGGGTGTGTGACACTAGAAGAGATGTTCAGCAAATGTCTTTGTTTCCAATACTTGGTTAGCTTTGGGTTCATTCTATGAGGCTTGGCATATTTTCACTATGCCTACCGGTCGTTGTGTTAGTAAAAGTGATGTAATTGGTGTCATCACAGAAGAAGGGGGAGAGGAAACCACCGTTACAGTATTTACACGCACAGGCACTGTACTCGGTTCAAATTAAACGCCTGCCATCAAGTCAGTGCCGCTTAGAATGACCTTGTACGGCAGAGAGAGCTGCCCCATGGGGTTTTTAAGGCTGTAATCTCATGGAAGCAGACTGCTACATCTTTCTCCCTTGAATGGACTGGTGGCTTTCAACTCCTGTCTTTTTGGTTAGCAGCCATCTGCTTTAACCACTGCACACACTCAGGGATCCTTTGACATTGTCCTAGACCCTTTTTAGATACTGTTTTATTTCATCTTTACAATATTCTGTAGGAAAAACATCTGTGTCATCATTTTCCAATGTAAAAGAATTTTCATAGTTTTCCTCAGTGTTTATAAATAGTTGGGACTGGTCCGTGAGCCCTTTAAATTGATCAGTGGACAGTGGTAAATTTACACTGTTTTGTCTTCTCTTTTGGGATGATTTTTCAGTTTGACTTTGAAGGATCACTTTCCCCAGTCATCGCACCCAAAAAAGCGAGGCCCTCTGAGACTGGATCTGATGACGTGAGTGTTACTGCTTCTGCTACTGTAAATTCATTTGCGAATATCTGTGCTCGGCTCCCACTTTCGTGGTATTCATGGTGAATTCCTTGCTATTTTGAACACTTTGCTTTACTTTACTGTTGAACAGCGGTTATTTCGACAAGTGGAATGTTTTCTGTGGTCATATATGCACTTGTGCCTTCAGGGATCTTTTAAAAGTTCCCATTGTCTTTCTGGATCATTGGCATGATCCGCTTACACGCGAACTGTTGCTGCCTGGCTTTAGTTTTGGTGGCCTAAAGTGACAGTATTAACCTTTTTCATGCAATACTTCTGTAGATTCTTAAATTTATCAGGTTCCGTGAGTGGATCCTTATGGAGCCTCTGCCCTAATTTTTAAAAATTAGGTTATAATTCACCTACAATGAAATGCCAGATCTTCAGTTTGGTCTGTTCTGACAAATGCATATTTATGTAACGCACATCCATACCCTTATCAAGACAGAGTATTTCCATCTCTCCAGAGAGCTTTGTACCTGTTTCAGTCAGTCTCTATCTTTGTTCCCCGAAGCAGTCATTTCAGCTCTAGAAGTTGACATAAATGAGATACTATGATATAATATGAAATCTTTGGTAGAAAGTTACTTTCTGTCAGCCTAATGTTTTTGAGATTTCTCCCTGTTGCTGCAGATATAAAGCAATTTGCTCATTTTATTGCATCGGATACCTATACCCGTTTGTTTCCTCATTCTTCTGCGGATGGGTATCTAGACTATTTCCAGTTTTACTATTATGCATAAGCTGCTGCCAACATTCTTTTACAAGTCTTTCCATTTTTAAAAAGATGAATAGCTGGCAGTGAAATTGTTGGGTTATTGCTGTTAGTTTTAAGAAGCTTCCAGGCATGTTCCCAAATTGGTGTCCCAGTTTATACTCTGGCCAGTGATATGCAAGTGTTCTTCTTGTTCTGTATTCATGCCAACATTTTTTGTTGTAAGTCTTTTTCAGTGTATAACTCTGAGTGTGTGAGCAGTCGTTTCTTTTATAAAAACCCAGTGCATCTGTCCAGGTGTCCACCTCTAGAGGGAGTACTGAGTAGAACCGCCCCCAGGGTGTCTAAGGCTGGCATCTCGACGGGGGCATGCTACCACCCTTTCTTCTGAGGAGCAGGTCGAGGTTCAAACTGCTGACTGTTCAGTGAGCAGCGAGGCACTTTAACCACTGTGCCATCAAGGCTCCTAGTTTGCCTCATAGAAGTATTAATTTCTTTTCCCGGATAACTACTGGTAGTAAGCACTTTTTCATGTGCTTACCTTGTATATGTTTTTTTTGAAATGAAAATCTTTTTATTTTCAGTTGCTTTTAAAAACTCATTATTGAGCAATAGAAATTCTTGTCATATACATGTGTTGTGGATCCTAATGTGGCTTACCAGTACCTTCTTGAACATAGCTTTTTAATTTTGATTGTCCAATTTTTCAGTTTTTTTTCTTTTATGGCTAGTTTTTCTTGTATTTAATCCAAGAGTTCTTAAAGCTTAGGATTGCACACAGTATTAAGTTCTAGGAAAGCTCTAGTAAGTTCTAAAATTGGCACAGACCAATATTCTCTGAACATAGTAGAATAAACCATAAGTAAAATCCAAAGTGCACCTAATATTGGAAAGTATAGTACTGTCAGTCTAAATATAAAATTAAGTTGATTATTAGATAATATTACTAGCTTAGCATTTTAAGAATATACAAAGATAGGTATACCATATGACCCATAAACTGCTTTTACCAAAACAAATTAGTCTGGTGGTCATTCACTGCATCTGTTTGTACTTTGCATATTTCATTAATTCCTTTGGACTTCATAAAACATAACTTCAGATAGTCTTATATTTTCTTTCTTCATTCCTCTCTAATTATGGAATTTGTCCCAGAATGGTTCTTCCTTAAGAGGACATGACTAGATTTTTAAAGATGGTTTGTCCTAATGTTTATCACCGACATCTGGAAATTGGTTGACCATTTTGTACAAGAGGGCTTCAAGAAAATTGTGGGAAAATAGAATTGAAAGATAATGGAATTTCTCCGTGCATTCTTTGAAGCCCACACTCCTACAGTAAAACTTGTGAAAGCCGGAACTGATGTAAACTGGAAACCTGTCAAGAAGGAAAACTCAAATACTTTTCACTGACAGAGCGATAGCAAAGTGGTAAGACTGCACGCTTTGAAAGATTGAAAACTCACGAGACCTCAAGTCAAAACAGACCCTCAAGTTCCAACTCACCCACAGGTTTTACTGTAGTTCATCTTTTTCAACACGGTGACTTTTTTCTTCATATTTTGAGAGAAACTTTATGTAACATTGGAACTTGAATTGTGTTAAGTCATTTGGCTTTTCTTAATGATGACATTATATAGAGGCATTTAAAAAACTTAAACCCTTTTTATTCCTCTCAGGATTGGGAATATTTACTAAACTCAGACTACCACCAGAATGTTGAATCTCATCTTTTGACCAAATCTCTGTGTTTGAGTCCATTGGAAGTTCCACAGACAAAGGATGAGGATTTTTCCCAGAACATAAGTCTTGATTCGTCTACGCTTCTCTTCCTACACATACCTGCCATTTTTTTTGTTCTTCATCTGGTCTATGAGGAACTTAAGTTGAATACCTTAATGGGAGAAGGAATTCGCTCACTTGTTGACCTTCTTGTTCAGTTGGCAAGGTAAATATTTATAAATTAGAAATTGCCAAGTAATCCTTAAATGAATCCATATTATCCATAATTGTTATATAGGAATCTTATATATTATTAGAGCCTTATGTATTAGGTAAATTCCTGAAATCTGCCTCCTCTGAAAAATTGCTTTTTCTGTAAACTACAGAATTGTGTAAAGATGCTAGCTAAGTAAGGGCCTGTGGGCCGGGCTTGGGTTATGGCCTTTGTCATAAGATTAGTGGTAAATCACAAAGTGTTTTAAGCATGGGGATGCTCTGATCAGATTTTCTGTTTGACAAGATGACTGTGATAAAAGTTCTCAAGTATCTGCTGGTTTTTTAAGAAGCTGCATTCTCATAGGACTGTATAGTTAATAAAACCATAGTTTACGTGTAAGTCATTGAAGTAAATATTATGATCCTCTTGAGGAACCTTGTCCAAGTTGATTTCCTGGGTAAGTCAGTGAAAGAACAATCCCAAATGCTAGTGTCGATAGCTAATTATGGACTCTTGTTTCCCCTTGCCTCCAGTGTCCTTGAAGTGCATCCACAAGACCACTGTTCTCATACTTGCTGTCACCTTTTTTGTTACTGAATGCTTTTTGCCACTCCTTTCAAGAGGCACAACTAGGACCCCTGAGGGCGCTGTGGTTATACACTGGCCTGCAAGGCAGCAGATTGAAATCACTAGCAAGCTCTTCAGGGGAAAGATGAGTTACATAAAGAGCTACAGTCTTGGAAACCCAAAGGGCAGTTCTATCCTATCCTATAGGGTCGCTGTGAGTCAGTATCAACTTGTTGACAGTGAGTTTTGTTTTTTTGTGATTTTTTTTTGAGATAGGTGTTTCAGAATTTGTGATTTTTGGTGATAAAGTTGAATTTGCATGGAAATGTCACCCCCTGAGTTAAGATGCTAGCATGCTCTAACTCTTGTGATTTTCCTTGAGAAATTGAAATGTTTTTCTCTGATATGGTAGTTTTGCTTGTGATCAGTTTTTCTTCTGGCAGATTTTGTAATTAAACATTTTTCAAACACTCAGATTGGCTCTCCAAAATAAATAACATTTGTATACTGTTATACACTTCATGAGGCATTTTTCACATATGTATTTAACCCTCAACGTTTCTGGGTAATTAAGTGATGTTTTCCCATATTGCGATTACTAAGTTCATCAAGGTCTCCTATTGAGGTCACACAGACAGTGGAGGGAAAGTAGACCCCGGTGTTTTCCCTCTGGTTTGACAACCGTGGGGGAATCCATCCAGCACATCGTTTAGATTGCATCAGTCATACGGAGGCAGTTTAACGTTCAGAAATAGGAAAAAGCAGCTTTTGCTTTTTTTTTAAAACTTTTTTTTTAAATGCTTTTGCTTTTTTACAAGGTAAGTGTTCTAAAAAGTTTCACTGATGACTGCAAACTCCGGGGTGGGGGTAGGGGACGGACAAAAGGATACGGCTATGATATCTTCCTTGTTATTTCTTTTTTATGTGCTCTTATTGTTTTAGGGACTTAAAATTGGGACCTTATATAGATCACTACTATAGAGACTATCCAACGTTGGTCAGAGCTGCTGGACAGGTGTGTACAATTGATGAAGGTAAGCGTCTGTACCATTGAAGATTTTCTGAACATTGGAGTGATGCTGGCTTGTATGTTTCTCTATGACTACTTCTACCATTTGCCTCAGTCAGGAAAAATATTTCTTTCATCTGGTAGGTTTTAAATTCTAGTGCTTGATCTCTGACTTAATAAGCTACAGCCCCTTCAGTGTATGGGGAGAATTTATCCATCCCTAAGATTCTGACTTAACAAGAGCTCAGAGCATCCAGTGATGAAGATGCTTTGTCCTAGACCTTTGCTAACCTTTGTTATTCATATGTGACTGTTTAAGCTCATTAAAATATACTCCAGTTCATAGTTGCACTAGTCACATTTTAAGTACTCTGTGACTACCTGGAGATACTGGTTACCATGTTGCACTGGACAGATATAGAACATACCCCGCCCCCCCCCCCCCCACCATAGGTTTTAAAACAATTTTAAGCTGTAACCTACAAGGTATAATATAACAAAAATAACATTTAATCAAATAAAAAGTAATACACTTTTTATTTGAATAATAAACATTTAAAATCTTTTTTATTGGAAACATGCTAAGATGAATATGGGTCTTGTTGCCCTTACTACAGTTTTCTTATATGTCACTAGCCTGCTTACCCTGTGTTTTCTATAGTCATGCAGATATGAATGGGAGGTTGAAGGATTAAAGAAATGAGAAGTCTATTTCACAAGGCAGCCAAGCTGGGTTTTCAGAACAGAATTATTTAAGAAATTCTTACCTACTCATATTAAAATCCACACACCTTAAGTTGTTCCTACTCAGTAATGTCTTCTAGAGAAACGGGCATATATTTTTCCTTTTACTCCCTTGAAGTTCTCCAACTCCCAGTATTCAGGGTATTCAGTGACAGTACCACTATAAAGCTTTCTCTTGGAATACTTCCATAAGTTTCTGTGTGTCCTAATTATCTAAATGCCCTTCTGTCTTTCTGCTGTTCCGTGGCTGGATTTTTATTTGACTGTAATGCTCAGTCCCTTCCAGGAGTAAGTCAATGCCCTAAGTTGCTTCAGCCAAGGGACAGGAGGATGGGAGGCTGTGGACAGTGAACGTGTGACTTTGGAGTGAGGCTGGGAAGGGGCCCATTCGGGTCACTGTGTCAGGAGGCTTTAGGGGCAAACACCAGGAATAAATAAGGAAAACTTTGTTCCTGGGGATTAGGATTCAACTGAATCATTTATGGCAGGAGGTGGCCGGTAGAGGCAGAGGAGGAAGTGGAAGAAGAGGAGGCAAGAAGAAGTGAAGGAGGAAGAAGTGGTGGGATGGGGATGAGAGGATGGGAGGGAATTGGAGAGAGGAGACTACACTGTGGCTTCTCCAGATATAAACATTTCTGTCACGCCAGAATTGTCCCAAACCCTGAGCTAAAGGGACTGACTCACGGATGGGGCCCAATCGTTAGAGCTCAATCCTGAGGCTCTTTTTTCCTTCCAGGGCTAGGCCAGAGTATTTTGGTTAGATTCTTTATATGCCTTAGGCACAGAATTTGTGTAGTTTTCAACCGGCCTGGGATAAAATAGTAAATTAATTTTTCTACATATAATACAGCCTCTGGTAGAAAAAGTTGGAGACAGTAGAAAAAATCTGTTTCTTTTAAAGCATTAGCTGAATACTGTTATTTTTCCTTTAGAATAAAAGAGTGTTACCTTGGTGTATTTTTATAGCCCTTTATTAAATATGTCTGACTTTAAAGGTCAAACGGGATTTATGCATCATCCATCGTTTTTTACTTCTGAGCCCCCGAGTGTATACCAGTGGGTGAGTTCTTGTCTGAGGGGCGAAGGAATGCCACCCTACCCCTACCTCCCTGGAATCTGTGAAAGAAGCAAACTTGTAGTCTTGGTATGTATTAACATGCTGTCTTTTTCTCCCCTCAGTTTAATTTTTAAAGTATCTTAGAGTAAAATTGACTTCCATTTTATGCAAAATTCTTTGAATTTCAGCACATGTATAAATACTTATAATCACTCCCATAATCAGAATACCTACAGCTTTATTACCAACCCTACCCCCGTAAATAATTCTCTCATGCTTTTGAGATTCATGCATGCGGTGCGTGTCAGCAGTTGTATTTTATTCCTATGTGGTGGACCATTACATACATATTGTAGTATTAAATTTAAGAGTGGAGCGGGGGAGTGGGGTGCCAGCCCCATCCGCTGCTTGAACTCACTGGTTCAGTAATACTACTTCTGGGTTCAGTAATGCACAATTGTATGGTTGAGATATATAAGTATTATATTAAAGTCATCGAGAGCATGAGAGATAATACAATAATACAGTCAGACATATTACATGGTAGCATTGCTCACCTCCGCCCTGCTTGGTGGTCCTTGTGGGGGGAACCCGGCTGCCAGAGCAGGAGCCGCCTCCCTCGAGGGAGCTGCCCTCTCGTCCACCGCCCTCATGGGAGCAGCTCTCCTTCCTCAGCCACCTTCGGCTGGCCCCCCTCGGCCGGCCCTTTCCCGAGAACCAGGGAGCCTCATTATTTATTGCTAACCACGCATCATATCACTTTAGGGGGGTCTGATTACAGAGTCATACATCACAGAAAGGGGCAATACAATTCATTCTAGAACAAGTTTGATCACTCTGATGTCTCATAATAAAACAGACAACTACTATTCTGGGAGGCATGCAAGTCCCCTGATAGCGGACAATAACCTAAGTCACAGGGAGGGGTAGCAACATAGGCAATACAATCAATAGGAGGGTGATGACCTAGGGGTGTGCCCGTATTTGTTGTGGGATAAACAGTGGTGTCTGCTTGATCTAGACAGCTGATAATGGCTACCTAACCTTGGTCATCCTTGGGCGGGTTTGCCCCCTCTGGTATCTCCTGCAAGTAAACAGACCACCACTATCCTTATCAGAAGGGAGTGGATCTTATTTAGGGTGAGTCAGACTAATAGTCTAGCCACTATAGATGGCTGATGTTAAGAATAACCTCTGACCTACTTTTGCTGATCACCTATTGTACAGTTACTCTTAAGCAGCTAAGTCTGGTACATATTTTGGGGAGACAACTTAAGAGAAATCCTTCTGTTCCTCACAACATATCCCACACTTGGTTTATCCACTTACTCATTGAAGAACATTTGGGTTGCTTCTGGTTTTTAACAAGTATGTGTAAAGCTGCTATAAATATTCATGTTTAGATTTCTGTGTGAACATAAGTTTTTATTTCTCTAGAGTAGATACTCAGGATTGTGACTGATGGGTCATTTGTAAGTGTGTGTTTAATTTAGGGTGGCTGCATTATTTTACATTCCTACCAGAAATGTGTGAGATTCCGTTATTTCTGCTTCCTTGTCAGTATTTGCACTATTTTTTTATTTTAGCCATTCTTGTAGACATATAATGAGATCTCATCGTGGTCTTCATTTGCATTTCTCTAATGAGAGTCATGTGTTGACCGATCATCTTTTCACGTGTTTATTTTACATGAGTGTGTCCACTCTGGTGGATGTCTTTCGCATCCTTTGCCCACTTGCTAGTTGTGGTGTTTTATTACTGCTGGGTTTTCATGCGTTCTGGCTGTGACTTTTTGCCATAGGAACAGTTGTGAGGATAGCCGGCACAGGCCAGGGTGGTGCTTCCCTCTGTTGCGCACAGGGTCTCGGGTCAGGCCTGACTGGGTGGCACCTGACACCAACCACAGCTGTGCGGCTTGTCAGGTAGGGAGCAGACGGGTGTTTTCTCCCAGTGTGCAGTTTGTTCTGTAGACATGTGTGTTGCAGAGTAAGAGTGTTTAATGCTGATGAAGTCTCACTTAGCGGTTTTTTCCTTTTATTACAGTGCTTTTAGTATCATGTTTAAGGCCTCTGGTTAGCTCCAGGCCACATGCATTTCTCCTATGTTTTCTTCAAGAAGTTTTACATTTCACCTTCTGATCCAACATTAATTGTTTTGAAAAATGGAAGTTTCTTTAAGAGTTCTTCTATTTCCATTTTGTTGTCAATTCTTTCATCATCTTGTTAAAAAGAAGAGCATTTTCCTGGTCAATGCGGTTGCACTTTTCTTAAAAGTCAAGTGGCAACATTCTTGCTGATCTACTTCTGTTCTCCCCATTGATGACTTTGTGTGGGTGTATGGCTAGCCTCATGATCTTGGTTACTTTTGCACTACAATTTGTCTTAAAATTGAATAGTATTTCTTTTCTTTTATCCTTCTTTATCAAAATTATTCTGGCCACTTTAGTTCCTTTACCTTTTTGTATAAGTTTTATAATCCACTTTTCTATATCTATAAGGAAATCTTGTTGGAATTTTAAAAAGGAATCGTGTTACATCTGTAGATTACGTTGGGAAAATTGACATCTTTTTCTCTCCATGACCTCCTTTCCACTGTCTGGTTTGGGGTTGCGCTTTTGTACTCGAGTGAGAAGATTGGGCTCTTCTTTCATGTACTCAGTGCTTTAGGATAACGGCTCCATTCAATGGAAAGTTTTTCTCGCAGTTTTCTTTTTGCCCAGCTTTTGCTACACACTGTTGTCTGGGATTGCCTAGAAACTAAGGTGTGAGAAAAATGGAGACTGGGAAGAAAGCTGGAAAAGGAGGGAGTTCGGCATGCTCTGAGCAGCAGAGTCCCTCTCTGGCTCTTGGAGCCAGAGGCGG